ACCTACTCCCCCGCTCCCCCTGTCAATGTTGTTCTCTCCAGCTGATGGAGCACACACCGCGCAATGAAAGACAACATCGAACGGGGCCGGAGGGTTGGGGGCCCAGCGAGATTTGGCCAGGATTGTAGGTCTGCAAGCTCGACTGTTTTCTATAATCTAACTGGCTGCTTTTATCGTGTACAATTTTGCTTTCATTTTGATGACAGCTGTTGCCAGCTCTGATGGGACGGCGACAGCCGGTGCAGATTATCTTGTGGTGATGGAAACGTTAGAATTCCAGCTGACGAGGAACCAAGTTAGTGTTACCGTGACAATCATTGACGATGGTGCCGCAGAGGACACCGAGTGTTTCACACTGACACTGTCAAATCCCGATCCCACTGGCACTCTTGGGTCAGCAACTGAAATTTGCATCGTCGATAATGAGGGTGAGATTGCAAATCTAACTCGTAGGCCTGCATGTGGAAGGTTTTTTTTTTGTGGTCCTGAACTTCATCTGTGGTTTCTGTTTCAAGAAATTTGAAGAATATTTAACAATTGTTGACTGTTGTGATGTGGGATATGACGTTTTGAACACCCGACCCGAGTGGTGCATAGCACCCGAGGGTGCTATGCGCCCCGAGGGTGTTCAAAACATCATATCCCACATCGCAGCAGTCAACAATTGTTTTGTTAGGCCTACACCTTTGTCTTGGATTCTTTGGATTTTGATGTAAAATCACGAAAACAAACAGCAGTAAACACAATAGTCATGACAATCGATCGGCATATCCATGGCATGTCGAGTGCTCGAAACAGCTGATCGTCTGCTAGTTCGCCGCTCCCACTCATATGTGAAAACATGGTGAAAATAGCGTGGGTACCAACGATACATGCGTTTCACACAGTACGTATACTGCATGTATCACGTGCGTGATATCCCAAGGGAGTGTGCTATGACTTGTTATAAACTTAACACGTGATCGTTCTTGGCCAGTGAAAATGCAGTTTTCAAGACAGAGGTATAACAATAGCTTTTTAAGAGATTGACACAATTCAGGGAAGTCAAGCCAAGTGTAGTGTATATCCCTTGGATTTGGACGATAATGGCGTCTAAAACGATTCCTGGTGCCAGAGATGAAGTTCCGGTCGAAGACGAAGACATGGTTTGAAAGCCCTCCAAGATTGGCCTGTCTTAGCTTTTTATTGTATATTTTAAAGGCTGCACTTTTCAAAACAAAGATGATCTCAGTTTCACACGAATACCATGGAGCGCATTAGTAACTTTTATTCATATCAATGGATTTTGAGATACTTTGAAATGGATTTCGAGATATGTTGAAACGCATTTCGAGATATCTTGAAATGGACTTCGAGATATCTTGAAATGCATTTCGAGATATCTTGAACTGATTTCTACATATCTTGAAATGGATTTCCAAATATCTTGAAATGGATTTCGATATGTCTTGAAAATATTTGGAAATATCTTGAAAACATTTGAAGATATCTTGAAATGCTTTTCGAGATATCGTGAAATCCTTTTCGAGATAACTTGAAATAATCACCAAGAGGCTTGAAATTGTGAGAATGTTTCGTGATATCTGCATTGGAGATATCTTTCAGTGATTGGATATGTTGAAATAATCAAAAGCTACCACGTGAACTTGAATAATTGTCAGGTATGGCAGTTATGTAGTAACAAATTGTAGTGGTCGATAATGGCTTGTGCAGCACCTTATTCAACCATCAACCCACTGTGCCAAACAATCATGTCATTTCATTTCAGAGAGAACTATGCGAAATTACGACATACATGACTTTGTGTAATTTTGTTTCTTGAGATTCTCAAGACACTGGTGATTAATATATTCTCAAACAAGGGCGGATCCAGGGGGGGGGGGGCCAAAGGGGGCCATGGCCCCCCCCAAAACGAAACCAATTTTTTTTTTTTTATGTGACATCGCAATAAAGGCAGGCAATGAGTACACCACCATCTTTTCCTCAAAAAAACATTGGTTAAAGTGGTCAGAAATTGCCTCAGATCGCACCACAGAGCATCTAGAATCCAAAATTTTTTTGGGGCCCTTAAGCGGGCCCCGAACCCCACGCCGTAATTTTTTTGACCCACTTTTGGGGGGACCAAAAATTTTTTTGGCCCCCCCAAAATTGTGTTCTGGATCCGCCCTTGTTCTCAAAATGGTTGGTGAAATCCTGCCAGTAAATAGCACGTGATGAATCTGGAATGCTGTTTTATGAATGATGTTCATTCGTCAACAACTTGTTTTTTATCGAATCGCTCACCAGATTGCTTTTGTGAAATACAGGGTGAGTATAAAAAACGGAACCCAAAAATAAATTTCATATTTAAAACAAAAAACATGTGGTACCCACAATAATAACGACTGGAAAGCCAATTTCATAAACTTTTTTTTTAAGATGAAAAACTACTGAAATTACTCCATCCGTTCAAACAATATCACCATTTAAACGCAATGACCCTAAAACCTGTTTCGTCCATCGAAAAAAAAGCCATTTATTGTGTGTTCTGACTGTTTGGAACGTCAAAGAAAGTGACACAGAATACTTGTTTCAACAAAAGTCAACAAGTGTAGTACAAAATTATTAACATCTCTTCTTAGGCAAACAATATGATTTATGAAACCCTTTTTTTTTTCAAAAGACGGGTCTTCAAAAGGACTTTGTTGTGAATATATATTTGTAACGTTTAAACTGAGGTTCTATCGCTGGTGATGTTTGAATGCAATTGTGACGACGATTCTTGAAATCGCACTTTTGGAAGAAAGAGGTTTTAGGGTCATTGTGTTTAAATGGTGATATACTTTGTACGGATTGAGCAACTGTAATAATTTTTTTCATCCAAAAGTAGTTTCTAAAATTGGCTTTCCAGTCATTATCATTGTTGTGCTACATATTCTTTTAAATCTGAAATATATATTTTGAGGTTTGGGTTCCGTTTTTTAATCACCCTGTATGTAGTTATTGGATAATCAAAGTAACGTCACTACATAAGGATCCAAATTAATAACCAGGGGTACTAGCGGAGCTTGGGAATTAACTCTTTATTTTCGGCTGAAGACGAAGACAATAAAAAAAGCTCTTCATTTTCCATCTCCAAATGCCGAGTTGGGAAGGAGGAGGTGCGCACAGAGGGAGGACACGGAGACGCAGAGGGGCCTATGCCCTGCCCCTCCACTCCTACGTGCCCACATCATGTGCCCTAAATTATGACACTGTTTTCATATATCTGAAATTTCCCATCCATTTACTTCTTATCATGCACCATTTCAAAGATCCTTGTACGTGTCCTGATGGCTGCCCGGCCGTGCCATGTTCAAATGGGGGTACATGTATGGATGCTGGTCATGGAATGAATAACTGTACTTGCCCTTCGGGGTGGAAAGGCGCCACCTGTGACGAGGAAGGTAAGCCAAATTCTAAACCTTGAGGTTTAATGTGAATAGCATATAGTTGTATGTGCATGTGAACGTGTTACAGTGAACGGAACGGTCGTTCGGGTTATCAAAGCATTTTTCTCATTATAAAGAATGGAGCATTTCAAAATTTCTGACCAGTAAACAAGTTTGGATATAAAATCAGCAATCTACGTGTTCTTCAACAATTTTTTCTGTCACGGCTTCTGCAGCCTTCTGCAAAAAGCTTCATTATCTTAAATTGTTTTTCGTGCCCTGAAAGTAGACCGGTTATCGGTCCCCTAACTGACCAATTCTGATAGAGGCAGGAACCAGTCTGCCATGCAAAGAACGGAATTATCGTTTAGTAATTCGACATTTGTGAAGCAGTTAATCCAGGACTAAACATGAACTAAACTAAACATGGTTTTTGTCGTCTGATGTTTCATGTTGAATTGAACAACGTTTATTACAGTACAGACGTTTTCCTAGTTCCTGATAGCAAACATCATTCAGGCTGCTTTTGGCTCAACTACTCCAGGAATTCAAGTGAAATTGGTTAAAAAGTTTACCTTGAGTGATGGACATACTACACAGTAATTTTCCAAATTTAAGCTCCTTTTAATTCGACTTTACGACGTCAAAAGTACCGATGCCCTTTTTCCTAGTTCCGGATCGGTTCAGTCAGTTCTGAATCGATCAAATACTGCTTCGCGCTAAAAAAAAAAAAAAAAAAAAACGCGAGAATTTTTTTTCAGCCAGAAAAAAAAATCAAGCACATTTCTGATAAAGTATTATTTAATTGACCAAAAATAGTTCATTCAAGAGAATTTCAGCAAATTTTAAAAAGAGAAAAACGTAAATGATTTTGAAAATTTTGTCTACAGCACAACGAACTCAAACACGGACCAAAAACTTCACATAAAATCGATTAACGCGCGTGTAGTTGGGTCGTAAGTGCACGCGCGATCCGGAACTAGGCAAAAACATACGGTCAATCGTTGGCGAATTTTTAAAAATTAGAGACTCTACAACTTATTTGGATTCAACAAACATTGGATGGAAGAGTTTATACGACTATAGTGTATGAACAAAATGTTTGAAATCACACAGTACGAGTGATGTACCGAGGAGAAAAATGTATCGTCGATTCGCAGCTCCTGCGTTTTTCCGCAACCGTCCAAACATGTCAAAGTGCGAGTCGGAAATCTAGCCAAAATTCATCTTCTAAAGATTTTATCGAAAAGATCTTTCTGTATCAAGAAGCTTACATTTTCCTTTTCAAAATGCACTTAGTCTAATCTAAAAGAGGTAGAGTTTTATTTGAAGCGATTCGGAACTAGGAAAAATCCGGAACTAGGAAAACGACTGTACATTTAATCCTAAAAAAACATGCTTTTTTTACTTGCCATTGTACAAGTTGTGCAGCGTTACGTCCTTTTATAACCTTTTCGTTATTTTGTTTTATTGTTATTGTGTACTGTCTGTGCGTTTCAACAAACTCCACTTTTTACTCCTCATGAACTTTCTAGCGTTGTATTTTGCTTTAGAAAAAAGTTCTGTAAACTAATCGTCCCATAAGTAATCATGGACCGATTATTCACTACGAGGTGTCGTACCAATAAGAAATATATTTTTTTTCCTTAAAAACAAACATTTTGAAAGCAGAAAGGTGTTTTTTTGGGGGATGATTCGAATACATGAAATCCATGCTTCTTAAAATAGACTAATATTTGTTATTATTCATCAATGTTTTTGCATTGTTACCTTTGATATAACGATTTCGTTGTTTGTTGTTTGGGTATTTTTCAGCCGCAACTTACAATTTTGAGCAGGCATCCTACTCTACAAATGAAGGAGATGGCCCTATTGATATCACCATTATACGCACTGGAGCTTCGGCTTTGGAAAGTACTCTTGTTGGTATGATACCTAATTAGTAAGATCAAATGTCATTGAAACTGTATGTTTGTATTTGTTACAAAATAACCTGCAAAGATGCTTAAATGTTTGGGTTGCCTGCCGAAGGCCCATTGGTATGACCATCGGTAGGACCTCAGCTCTATGGTATGACGTCACAGGTAATATGGTCTATATTTTTCTTTGGTACTTCATCGACTCACTCACTTATTGTCACTTATGAATTAAATTTGCTTAAGTCTCACCTGAGCCCCAAAATTCGACTCAGATGACTATATTAACCCCATGGACTCAATTGGTGTGATCATTCTGGGCAAGTTTTATAGGCTTGCCTTGTCTTGTTTTCACTAATGATTGAGTCAATTTGTGGCCCCAACCTTGTAGGCAAAGTAGTATACGCCTACACTAGTTTAAATGAAAGATTTCATTACCTGAACATTTCATCATTATCAATATGCTATTTTTCCCCCACAGACGTTGTTACCTCCGATGGGACTGCTGTTGCAGGAATGGATTATTCATCTCAGACTGCCACTCTAAACTTCACAGATACAAATATCACAGTATTCACGGTCACAATAATTGATGATGACAGCGCGCAGGACACGCATTGTTTCACCTTGTCTTTGATGAATCCAGATCCAAGCGATGGACAAGTTGGTGCTGATACAGAAATCTGCATCATTGATGATGAAGGTACAGTTAGAAGCCCCTAGTCCCCGTAATGTCAAAACAGCTCTTATTGTGTGCCAGAACATCAAACATCACGAGACTACCAAATGAAATGGACTTGTCTAATGCTGATCTTTTCAAGGGTTTTTAAGCCAAGGCATTTGTGAACATTGGGAAAGATAATGGCATATACAGAGAATATTATTGATCGTCTATACGGAGACTGCAAATAGAATCGAGAACAAGCAAAATGATACATCAATGGTGTTTATTATTGATGTTTATGTGAAGTAAATAGAGTTGATTTTAATGCATTTTTAGATCCATGTGCTTGCGCTGGTAATTGTCCACTCGTACCATGTTCAAATGGAGGTATGTGTATGGATGCTGGTCGTGGAATGTACAACTGTACTTGTGCGTTTGGATGGAAAGGATCTACCTGTGCCGATGAAGGTAATGAAATCATAATTGAGTTATTCACATGCAAAAGGCTCGGATTCGTGCGTTCCCCAAAGCCGAATGTGAAAAAGTGAAGTTGAAATTGGTGCGTGAAAGTGCCATCCGTGTACCTTTGGATTTTCAGGCTCCTGGTGTGGGATATATCGCAGCTTTTATGTCTTCAAGCTTCATGATCGTGAATTTGTATCTTTCCTGCTGACTTGCTATTGTTTTCTAATTACGTTTGAATTGTTACCTTCGATATCACAATTTCGTGGTTTCTTGTTGAATATAACCAGTATCTTTTTTGGTTTGGGTATATTTTTCAGCCACGGTATACAATTTTGAGCAGGCATCCTACTCTACAAATGAAGGAGATGGCCCTATTGGTATCACCATTATACGTACTGGAGGTTCGGCTTTGGAAAGTACTCTTGTTGGTATGTTACCTATTAAGTAAGATCAAATGTCATTGAAACTGTAATGTTTGTATTTGTTACAAAATAACCTACAAAGATGCTTAAATGTTTGGGTTGCCTGCCGAAGGCCCATTGGTATGACCATCGGTAGGACCTCAGCTCTATGGTATGACGTCACAGGTAATATGGGCTATATGCTTCTTTGCTACCTCATCGACTCACTCACTGATTGTCGCTTATGAATTAAACTTGCTTAAGTCTCACCTTAGCCCCAAAATTTGACTCAGATGACTATATTAACCCTTGGACCCAATTGGTGTGATCATTCTGGGACAAGTTTTATAGGCTTGCCTAGTCTTGTTTTCACTAATGATTGAGTCAATTTGTGGCCCCAACCTTGTAGGCAAATTAGTATACGCCTACACTAGTTTTAATAAAAGATTTCATTACCTGAACATTTCATCATTATCAATATGCTATTTTCCCCCACAGACGTTGTTACCTCCGATGGGACTGCTGTTGCAGGAACGGATTATTTATCGCAGACTGCCACTCTAAACTTCACAGATACAAATATCACGGTAATCACGGTCACAATAATTGATGATGGCAACGCGCAGGACACGCATTGTTTCACCTTGTCTTTGATGAATCCAGATCCAAGCGATGGACAAGTTGGTGCTGATACAGAAATCTGCATCATTGACAATGAAGGTACAGTTAGAAGCCCTAGTCCTCGTAAAGTCAAAACAGCTCTTATTGTGTGCCAGAACATCAAACATCATGAGACTACCAAATGAAATGGACTTGTCTAGTGCTGATCTTTTCGAGGGTTTTTAAGCCAATGCATTTGTGAACATTGGGAAACATAATGGCATATACAGAGAATATTATTGATCGTCTATACGGAGACTGGAAATAGAATCGAGAACAAGCAAAATGATACATCAATGGTGTTTATTATTGATGTTTATGTGAAGTAAATAGAGTTGATTTTAATGCATTTTTAGATCCATGTGCTTGCTCTGGTAATTGTCCAATCGTACCATGTTCAAATGGAGGTATGTGTATGGATGCTGGTCATGGAATGTACAACTGTACTTGTGCGTTTGGATGGAAAGGATCTTCCTGTGCCGATGAAGGTAATGAAATCATAATTGAGTTACTCACATGCAAAAAGCTCGGATTCGTGCGTTCCCCAAAGCTGAATGTGAAAAAGTGAAGTTGAAATTGGTGCGTGAAAGTGCCATCCGTGTACCTTTGGATTTTCAGGCTCTAGTGTGCGATATATCGAAGCTTTTATGTCTTCAAGCTTCATGATCGTGAATTTGTATCTTACCTGCTGACTTGCTATTGTTTTCTAATTGCGTTTGAATTGTTACCTTCGATATCACAATTTCGTGGTTTCTTGTTGAATATAACCAGTATCTTTTTTGGTTTGGGTATATTTTTCAGCCACGGTATACAATTTTGAGCAGGCATCCTACTCTACAAATGAAGGAGATGGCCCTATTGGTATCACCATTATACGTACTGGAGGTTCGGCTTTGGAAAGTACTCTTGTTGGTATGTTACCTATTAAGTAAGATCAAATGTCATTGAAACTGTTATGTTTGTATTTGTTACAAAAAAACCTGCAAAGATGCTTAAATGTTTGGGTTGCCTGCCGAAGGCCCATTGGTATGACCATCGGTAGGACCTCAGCTCTATGGTATGACGTCACAGGTAATATGGGCTATATGCTTCTTTGCTACCTCATCGACTCACTCACTGATTGTCGCTTATGAATTAAACTTGCTTAAGTCTCACCTGAGCCCCAAAATTTGACTCAGATGACTATATTAACCCCATGGACCCAATTGGTGTGATCATTCTGGGACAAGTTTTATAGGCTTGCCTAGTCTTGTTTTCACTAATGATTGAGTCAATTTGTGGCCCCAACCTTGTAGGCAAATTAGAATACGCCTACACTAGTTTTAATAAAAGATTTCATTACCTGAACATTTCATCATTATCAATATGCTATTTTTCCCCCACAGACGTTGTTACCTCTGATGGGACTGCTGTTGCAGGAACGGATTATCTATCGCAGACTGCCAATCTAAACTTCACAGATACAAATATCACAGTAATCACGGTCACAATAATTGATGATGGCAACGCGCAGGACACGCATTGTTTCACCTTGTCTTTGATGAATCCAGATCCAAGCGATGGACAAGTTGGTGCTGATACAGAAATCTGCATCATTGATGATGAAGGTACAGTTAGAAGCCCCTAGTCCCCGTAATGTCAAAACAGCTCTTATTGTGTGCCAGAACATCAAACATCACGAGACTACCAAATGAAATGGACTTGTCTAATGCTGATCTTTTCAAGGGTTTTTAAGCCAAGGCATTTGTGAACATTGGGAAAGATAATGGCATATACAGAGAATATTATTGATCGTCTATACGGAGACTGCAAATAGAATCGAGAACAAGCAAAATGATACATCAATGGTGTTTATTATTGATGTTTATGTGAAGTAAATAGAGTTGATTTTAATGCATTTTTAGATCCATGTGCTTGCTCTGGTAATTGTCCACTCGTACCATGTTCAAATGGAGGTATGTGTATGGATGCTGGTCGTGGAATGTACAACTGTACTTGTGCGTTTGGATGGAAAGGATCTACCTGTGCCGATGAAGGTAATGAAATCATAATTGAGTTACTCACATGCAAAAAGCTCGGATTCGTGCGTTCCCCAAAGCTGAATGTGAAAAAGTGAAGTTGAAATTGGTGCGTGAAAGTGCCATCCGTGTACCTTTGGATTTTCAGGCTCCTAGTGTGGGATATATCGAAGCTTTTATGTCTTCAAGCTTCATGATCGTGAATTTGTATCTTTCCTGCTGACTTGCTATTGTTTTCTAATTGCGTTTGAATTGTTACCTTCGATATCACAATTTCGTGGTTTCTTGTTGAATATTAGCAGTACCTTTTTTTGTTTGGGTATATTTTTCAGCCACGGTATACAATTTTGAGCAGGCATCCTACTCTACAAATGAAGGAGATGGCCCTATTGATATCACCATTATACGCACTGGAGCTTCGGCTTTGGAAAGTACTCTTGTTGGTATGTTACCTAGTAAGATCAAATGTCATCGAAACTGTAATGTTTGTATTTGTTACAAAATAACCTGCAAAGATGCTTAAATGTTTGGGTTGCCTGCCGAAGGCCCATTGGTATGACCATCGGTAGGACCTCAGCTCTATGGTATGACGTCACAGGTAACATGGGCTATATTCTTCTTTGTTACCTCATCGACTCACTCACTGATTGTCACTTATGAATTAAACTTGCTTAAGTCTCACCTTAGCCCCAAAATTTGACTCAGATGACAATATTAACCCCTTGGACCCAATTGGTATGATCATTCTGGGACAAGTTTCATAGGCTTGCCTAGTCTTGTTTTCACTAATGATTGAGTCAATTTGTGGCCCCAACCTTGTAGGCAAATTAGTATACGCCTACACTAGTTTTAATAAAAGATTTCATTACCTGAACATTTCATCATGATCAATATGCTATTTTTCCCCCACAGACGTTGTTACCTCCGATGGGACTGCTGTTGCAGGAATGGATTATTCATCTCAGACTGCCACTCTAAACTTCACAGATACAAATATCACAGTATTCACGGTCACAATAATTGATGATGACAGCGCGCAGGACACGCATTGTTTCACCTTGTCTTTGATGAATCCAGATCCAAGCGATGGACAAGTTGGTGCTGATACAGAAATCTGCATCATTGATGATGAAGGTACAGTCGGCCAAAACGCAAATCTGAATAAAACTGTAATTTCAACGACACAACTGTTAATGAATGCAATAAGGAGTCTGGTAAAAATTTACGCGAATGCAACATTGATTGAAGGCCTAGAAAATGGATATGTTCATGTTGCAAGTTGCTGATCTCTAATTTGATATTTTAGCGAAGTTCTTTTTGAGAACTTTACAACAGGTCGATGAGTAGGAGAGTTTGTCCACTGCGATTGACCTTTTCTCGAGAATTATATTCAAAGATGTAATCATTTGAATGGCAGACGTGTGGGGTTATGTTTTGCATTGAACAGCCTTGTCCCCAGGGCTTACTACATTTTCAACCTCGCATCCAATAGTAAGCCCTGAGATGGGAACCTGCTTCCATCATGTTTCGATGGCGCATTTAGCAGGTAATGGATTTATATCGTGTCCTTGGTGTTGTTATTTCTAACGTGTATTACGCGTTTTCACGTTCATTGTAATTAGTATATTACGTCCACACGTTCTCAAAAATAATCCTTTCCGTTGCAATTTGCTAATATTAATGTAAACTGTGATACTGTATTTCGGCTAGATGGGACTGTTACAATTTAACTTTGAGAAACAATCGTGTTGTAGCAAATCACGCCGTCACGAATTGATCATATTTTTTACCCAAAACACCACATACAAAACCAAACGCACAGGCGGACACCATGCAGACTATTCCTCATTTGCATACGTATCCAAATTTTTTTGATATGCAAATGATCCAGTACCAGTGTGATAGAGCAGGTAGTGGTGGGAGCGTACTGCTCGACACCCTGGGAACGAGGTTGAAATGCATGGGTTTGTGTTTAGCATTGAGATGGCAATGTGTGCTAGTGCAAACATTTTACATACATTCCTACATTACTTCAGCCAAAATGTGGTTTTCGCTTTTCAGTTTTGATTTAAATTTTCTGTTATTTTCCGCCGTTTTGCTATTTATTAACTCACGGCCGTTTTGCAGATGTAGTCAAGCCTGTCTTTGACCCATGCCCTCCTGTACTCCAAGCAAGCTACCCAACTGACTTGAACCTCCCAACAGCCGTCGTCAGTTGGACTCCACCAAATGTAACCGATAACAGTGGGGGAACTGTCACGGTCGATGCCAGTCATATGCCAGGGGAGGCATTCGACATTGGAGTAACAAGAATCATGATGAATGCAACTGATGAAAGTGGCAACATGGAATCATGCGTGTTCAATGTCACTGTTGTTGGTAAGGCCATATACATTTATTTATCATTATTGGGACTTCAATAATCATAAATGTAGTTTTGCTGAAATGTCTTCTCCCTGCTTTGTGCTTGCCTTCTCATGTTGACATGATACGTCTCTCAACGGAAAACATTTTTCTTTTGATGACCAGACGACCAGCAACCCAATGTGACCTGCCCTACTAGCCTCACACTCTACACTAATCCACAATCCAACGTTAGCACTGGTGGCTGGTCTCTGCCTGATGATGCATTTGATAATTCTGGTGTCTTCACTGCGACATCTTCACTGGATCCTACAGAGCCACTGGGTGTTTCTAATCACCACGTCTCCTACACTGTTGTGGATGCAGCCGGCAATGACATTAATTGTGGTTTCTACATTACTGTGCTTGGTAAGAAGTCATCATAGATCATTTTTGTAAATATTTTCCTAGAAGAGGTTTTTGAGGTCAGGTACCAAGAATTTGTTTCCCAGAATTCCGTGAATTTGCTTAAACCTCTTGTCTTTCAGACAACCAGGATCCCTACTTTGAGCCATGCCCAGCTTCGTTCACAGTTCAAACTGACCCACAGCAGAACACCGCTAATGTGTCATGGCCGCCTGTCATTCCGATGGACTTCGTTGCAGTTCAGGAGTATAACTCCAACTACCAGCCTGGGCACTTATTTCCAATTGGTGACACAGACGTTGAGTACAACGTGACCGACACGTCAGGGAATAAAGGTTCCTGCTTTTTTGTGGTGACAGTTGAAGGTATGTATTTCAATGTCAATGTCTTTCATTCTCAATTTCCAAAGATTCTCATTTCTATCGATGTGGCTTTAAGAATCTAAGTTGTACAAAAACAGTGTTTGCTTTGAATAATGAATAAGGATTGGAAAAACATTGAGCAGGCGGAGGTTACCCACGTGCTTCTGTAAAAACTAATCGTTTTGTCCCACATTTTATCCTACTGCTTGCTACTTCTTATAGTCTCACAGAATCCTGTGTTTCAGTTTAGTTAAACAGAATTGCTACCACCTTTAAATGCACACTCTGATTGTTTTCTTCTTCAAATATAGACATGGAGCCTCCTGCTATTACTTGTCCCAGTGCAGCCATTGTTACTGACACAGACCCTCAACGGAGTGTCGCTAATGTGACATTTGTCACGACTGCTGCTGACAATAGTGGGGAGTGGACAGTGTCATGCACCCCAGCCTCGGCAACCAACTTCCAAGTTGGAGTGCAGAATGTCATGTGTATCGCCACTGATCCCTCGGACAACACCGAAACCTGCTCATTTGCAGTCTTGGTATCAGGTGGGTGATTAAACAAAATCAATCTCGCAGGGCGCTGCGATTTCCCTCATAAAAGACCTGACAGAAGGAACTTTCGATCAATTCACTCCTGTGTCAAGTATTGTAGGAAAGGCTCATCCTGAAACGACTAATACTCATACTTGAGAAGAGGCTCGAGCTCGTTCCATTCGTTCCTTCCGATCCGGAAGGTCATGCAGACGCCATTTTCTCAAACTCACAGTGTACAAAGAAGACGAATAACTAATTTTTGTTGGTATGATTGTCAACAAAATGTTAACTTTCAAGCTTTTGTAAGCTGATTTTTAGACGATTCTGTTCAACATTCTTTTAACATCATATGAAATATGTCATCTGCTCTCAGACAATGAAGATCCGGTCTTCGATACCTGTCCATCTGATATCACACTCAATGAACCACTGGAGAGTTTCGTAAACTTCACTATCATGGTCAACTGGACACGACCCGGGGTGACCGACAACGTTGGCGTGGTTCGATTGGATGTAACTCATGAACCAGGCAGTGTCTTTGGCATTGACAGTCACCTGGTTATGTACACAGCCTACGATGCTGCTGATAATATGGCTACTTGTCAGTTCAACGTCATTGTGAATGGTAGGCTCGTTTATTATGCTCCTCTACTCACATTTGTGAACATTTATGCTTTAGGCCTATGTACAGAAACTCAAAAGGCAGTAGTAACTTTTGATGAAACATATCTGCAAAAATGAATGTAATGTTGAGCACCTGTCACCTTCGCATTATCTGATAGGGCTTGCACCTGACGAAAAAGATGTACCACCTAAAAGTTGTACCACCTAAAAGTACACGTCAAAATATCCAAATATTTGTACTTGCACATTTCTCATTGATACTTGGTAAATTACTGTTCTCCCGTCACTCCCACAGACGTGCAGCCGCCAGTTATTACCGGCTGTCCCGTGAACCTTCCTAGGTTCCCGACGGACCCCACTCGGGATACAGCCAGAGCATTCTGGGATGAACCTCAAGCTTCAGACAACTCGGGCAGCGTAACTCGGACCTCTAACTATGATGTTGGTGATGCGTTCCCTGTCGGAGATACCGTGGTGGTGTACACGGCAGAGGATGGCAGTGGTAACGCCGTCAACTGCAGCTTTGTTGTCCAGGTCTATGGTAGGTGCAAAAACCAACCATTAAACCTCGGTCTTAATAATATGTATTACATGACAATGAAAGGATTTCGCTGTTTGATTAGAGTTCTGTTTCGCTCTTAAATACATGTACAATGTTCATGTTATCTAATACCATGTTTTACCAAACACTGACCAATCACCAGCTATTCATGCAAGCTGTCAGTCGCAATACGAAAATGTGTTTGACTTCCTTCATCAATAATTAGGACTACCCTCTAGAGTACCTACCACGTCTTATGAACGTTCTTGTACCACAGATAATGAGCCTCCTACATTTACTGGCTGCCCCTTCCAAGGAGTCACCAGTGACACAGGTCTGCAGAGCGATCGTGGAGTAGCTTCGTGGTCAGAACCACAAGGCACAGATAACGTGGCGGTAGCCAGTGTACAGTCAGACTACCGGCCAGGAGATAGCTTCCCATTGGGTGCAACTGTCGTCACATACAATGTGACTGATACCGCAGGATTGGTCGCCGAATGTGCATTTACGATTACCATTTCGGGTAGGTGTAAGCGCGCAGCTCTTTTTGCTGGCACCATTGGCGATGATGTAGTGATTTCCGGAGTGATTGTTTTTTAAAAGATAATGTCACATTTGTTGTTTTCCCCAATAACAGATGGTGAGAATCCCAGCTTGACCAACTGCCCAGCGAGTTTCACTCTAACGGTGGAGTTAGCCACAGACACAGCCGTTGCAGATTGGACCCCGCCGACTGCCTCGGACAACTCCGGCACAGTGACCCTGTCTACGACCTTTGAACCCGGCCAGTCACTTTTGCCTGGTGAATACAGCGTGACGTACACCGCCACCGATCCGGCAGGCCGGACAGCAACATGTCCTGTCTTCACTATCACTGTGGAACCAAGTAAGATAGTTTGCTCTTGCCGACCGGATCGAGTCCTGCCACTCGTTTTGACGAATACTAATGACACATGATTTTCACATACTAATGTCTGTATGACACGTTCACTGTGGCTCCATATGATGCTGATCGAGCGTGATGCAGAACGGGCTAGAAGGTAGAATGTAAGATGGTTGAAATGGTTTAAAGGAATCAGTCTGATTTAATATAGGCCCTGATGAATCTTAATTTGTTTTACGATGCAATGTTCTTCCATTGATTCTGCTTTGCTTCCAGATCACAATGAATGTTCTCTGCCAGAAGTCATGGGGGAATGTTCATCTCGAGGATTGACTTGTGTCAATCAGCTGGAAGGTTACACATGCGACTGTCCCACCGGCTTTTTCAAGGCTGGAAACTCAGATAACTGCCTGCGTACGTATGATGATTTCTCGTTCAAAACCCCTGAAAATAATTCAAGAGAGGGTGGTCCGACAACTTTGGCCCACAAGGGTATAGACCAGTATAAAATAAATTACTACCGAGGCAAATGATAAATAGGCCTACCCTCTTTTCTAACAATCAGAACAAACACCCCAAAGTCAAATCCCGAAGCCCAATGCCAAGTTGGAAAATGAGCCTTCCACTTTACTGCGAGATTCAGCACCTTTGGGGTCAAATGTCATAATGATTTCTCGAAAAATACATCCTCAGTGTTCAGTTCTGATCTGGAACCCTCCTCGAGTTTTTCACAAACACTGAAAATGAAGGCCCACAAACCTCTCTACCAGGACAAGTGAAGACGTCACAAACATTATTCAGTCAGCATAGGCATTTTAGGTCATTTTACACGAACTTAATTAAGGCCGTGAAACAAAAACATAAGACATTGCAGAGGTATGATGAAGCCGCCCCTGATTGTTTCGAGAAAAAAAATTGGCCAAGCAATCCATGTGTAAAACAGAAAAACGGAGTGTTTAAACCCCAAATCTACAAAACTTGAACTGCATTTATAATTATAATAACCTAAAAAAACATACAAAGTCCTGATTTTTTTAACAAACAGAAGGAAGAATGTTTCGTTTTACTTTCGTCATTGTGGAGATCAGCAACAGCCCAGCTGTATTCACAAACGAGCTCACTAATCCCACCTCAGTTGCGTTTCTTTCACATCAGAGACGCCTTGAGAACTTGGTAAGAGACTGAAGAATTAAGAGTCCACATTGGATAATGGCCGTGGACGTTTGTTGCCTCGATTTGGTCTAATTATTGGTTCAACATCTCAGAATTTGTTAAGGTCAGAATTAACGGCTAAGTTGGAATGTGCTCCGAATTACCGATAATTACCAAGTTGATCACATCAAGTTAAATAGTAATTGAAAGTAGAATGACATCAGTCTTTTCTCTAAATGTTTCGTTTCTGTGTTGATGCAGTTCAGTATTGCCTTCGGCAATCTATCCGAGTTCGGCCGCATCATTGTCTTGTACTTCTTCAGTGGTAGCATAGGTGTGGAAGCATTGATTTCAGTCAACGGGAACTCCACGGCCAACCAAACGGAGGTGGAAAATTCCATTGATGCCGCAATCTCAGCAGATAATTTATTCTTAAATTCAGAATATAAGCTGAACCCCAGCGCCACTACCTTTTTGGAAGGTACGTGGTAGGCTTATAAGTATAGCTGTTTTAGGCCATAGTGTTCAAATACGACTTGCTATAATAATTAGGATGATACTACAGGCCTACAATGGATCGGGTATGAAACTGTGTGTATATACGTTACTGACTGAATGAGATGCATAAATAATTAGCATTGCAATGTTAATCAGACTCCACCAAGAAATTAGCGTACGTAATTGTTTAGATTCTTTAAACATGTACAAACCGTCACCGAACAGCGTTAATGAAAAAGCTCCCTTTGGGGGAAAAAAGCAAGTCAACAAATTAAACTCTATTACTTGTAAAAGGACTTGAAACTTTTAAATGTAAGTTGCGATTGAACGATTATAAAGAACAACTTTCCGTATGTGTGCATAACGGTTATCGGTGAGTTTACTGATAGCCTTATGATAATGCAGGATGATGACCGTTGACTTAAGTGGCGCATCTATTTAATGCAATCCTCGAAATTTACCTTTGTGTTCCATTTAAAAAAAAATATATCTTCTTGTTGGCATTTTTAAGGGCGGTTGGTGCCCTTTTGGTTTTTATGCAAATCCGAATTTCCACACTCGTGGGCAAAACTGTGATATCATTCGGGGCGGAAACTTCTATTTCACATCTGTTTCAGCATAATAGTCATCAGAATATTTACGGGCTTGCCTTGGTTATTTTTCAACTGTCAGTGGTTCATTGTCGTAAATTTCAGCATGACAGCAAATCAATGAGAAAACTGTATACACGAAACGATTTCGGATTTGAGTTTACAATTTGAAGAGAAAAAAATCCTAATCTGAAGGGTGTTCCTGAAGTGATATCACAGCAACAGCACCCTCAGTTGTCAGGAAAAGCATGGAACATTTCAAACGTTTAAAAGGTGCACTAAAACGTTTACCCGAAAGGGTTATCTCACAGTTCCAACACATTTCAGAGGACTATATATTTGCTACAATTAAGTTCCAGTGGGAAAGATTTCCACATACGAAGTTCACTAATTTTCCTCTGTATTGACTAACAAGCCCCCAGATGGCAATTTCATGTCATCAAAGTCAATTTGAGCAGTGAGAAAATACAAGCATTTTCTTAGAAAACACTTGTGAATTCTTGATTTTTTGTTTCTTTCATTTCGACAGAAGTTTGCCCGGACGGGTTCTGTGACAATGGAGGAACATGCCAACCCAATGCTTCCAGCTACCTCAGCTCCTGCGTGTTCGTATAACCTGGTTGATTGCACTTAAGTTGACTTCTTCTTTAGCTTTCAGAAATGTGAATGGCACAACACAAAATCAGTCCGCGATCATGAATTAACTGTAGATTATCCTCCATTAATCGATCCTACAGTATCGATCCTTACAGCGTATTAAAAGTACTATTTTGGAGGGGGGAAAAAAGACGTTGGAGTGTAGTATTTGTTTTATCTTTTGATGTTCAAAATTCAAATTTTCGTCCAATAGTTGTTGAGCAGTAGGGAAATGTTGAGTGGGTTTGCCTTTTCAGAGCATTGGCAAATAAACACAAGACTGGTTGTAATTAACTCCATCACGAGGCAAACCCAGGTCTTACCACTAGTCACATCACCAGGCAAATCACAATTGTGATCCAATTAAATCACATGTCAAATCACAAGTTATAATCACAAGTCAAATCGCAAGTCAAATCACAACTAATGATGACAAAGACCTAGGAATGCCTCTGTCCACATTGACAGTTGGTTGGAAACTTTTGGTGACTTGTCAGATAAAGAATACCATTGGTGGCAAGCACGTTCAATACATTTCCATTACAGAAAATACCTCACCTCTGTTTACCTACATTTGCATATCAGCGCGCATGCGCACAAACATTTGCTGAAAAGAATAGCGCCCAAGCCACACCCTCATTGTCCACTGCATGCCCCACGCCCACAAAGGACCCTGTAACGTAATAGCTCGCCCTAGTTTTTTCAGCGACGCGTAGTGTAAAGACGTACAATTTTTAGCTGTTCTCGCTGTGATTTCAAAATGGCGGACTCCGCCAAAACCAAGAAGAAAACCGTCTCAAGCGGTTCTACTGGAAAGTCACCCTCTACTCAATCCAAGCGTGATAATTCCTCTGCTACGACTGGGTCCAATCTCCCGGGTTCGGCAGTTGGAATTTCTCCAGGGTCAAAGAATTCTCCAATGAGAATTACGGCCACTCCCCGACAAATCCCGCATTCTTACGGCAGTCTGCAGGAGCACATGCACGCTTCGGAACAACAGGTCGACTCGCATGTGCAGGCGGGACGGCGGGGCTTGGCGTTCGAAACCCAAAGGTCCCTCGGTAATCCGACCAGCCCCGCCGGGTCACAGAGGCTTGGGGCACCACCACCACCACCATCATCTTCAGTCAGCCATACTACGGGTTCGTATTCTCAACCTAGTTTTACAAGCGAATCTCGGCGAGATTTTCTTCATCACTCGGAACCTCACACGTGGTCCTTTTTCCCGAACGATCCTCGTCACTTCGACCACAATACTCGCACTCCGTATCCACTCAGTGTTCCAGCCTACGACCCGCGGGTTTATCCCCAGACTTTTCCGATGGGATTTTCACACCATTACACACCTTATCAGGGTAATTCTTCACATTCTCCGGATGATCATGGCATACCTTTCACAGGACAAAGCTCCGTTCTCCGCAACGCTTCGGTGAACACACCAGCCGGGCGGGGAGAGAACGCCGCGATCCACGGCGCCGTTCCCGGTCTCGTGCGCGGTCCCGCTCGGACTCCGACGATCGACATCGGCGCCGACATCGTTCTTCTCGTCATGATCGTGATTACTCACGGTCGGATTCTGGTCATCGAAGCCGACACTCACATTCTAGATCTCCTTCAAGGTCTTCTTTTTCCTCGGGCCAGACAGTGGATGAAGATAGTCTCTCCAATGTCCAACGGGCTAATCTTACGATGACGGAAGTGGGTAAGATCCTTCAGTTTCCACCCCCTTCCCCAGGCGAATCTACTCGACCTTCATATCGCAGAGATTCTGGTACTCATAAATCTAAGCCTTCGCAGCCCACTTTTCCTATTGATAGAATGTGTGCTGACTCTATGAATGAGTCCCTTAGTCAGGTGCAAAACAAGCAATCTCTCTCTTGTGGACCGAGCAGGTTTGCAGGCATGTTCAACACCAATAAAGCGGACACTGATAGATTTTTTTCTACCCCTTCCTTGTCTTCTGAGGCCAAAGACTTGCTGAGACGTGAGAATCCGCAATCTCAGAAGCAAACTTTTGATGGTAAGACGAAAACACTTGACAAAAGAATTGCCTACTTGGATAGCCATCTGCGTCAAGGGGCCAAAGTGGCCTCTTTCTCCATCCTGTTATCGGATACCCTTGCTCGATGTTATGGAGATCCTTCCTTGTGTGAGCCATATAAGATACCCGAAATGTTCCATTTTTTGGATGATTGTCTGAGTTTTTGCCTCAAGGAATTTAGTTTGGGTTTTGCTTCAACTTCGTTGCTGCGACGTTCCCTTGTTGTAGACAAGTTGTTTCTCCCTTCACTTGGGGCGAAGGATCGCATGCTAGACCTTCCCCTGGCTGGGCATGATCTCTTTGACAACAGGTTCGATGAGACTATGTTACATGAAGCCAAACGCCTCAAAGCTGAAGACAAGTTCGATCTTCGTCGGCGTTCAGCCAAACGCCCCTCAACATTTGCCCCCAGTCAGCCCTACAAGAACAATCAACGCCCATTTTCTGCCGACAAGGGCTCCAACCAGTCCAAGAATCAGGGGCATCAGGCTTCTTCGTCTCCCCCCAGCTACACCAGGAGACAGCCTTCCAGATATTCGCGGCCTTTCATGTCCCGGGGGTCGCGAGGTAACAAGGGCCTTTGACTACAACGCAGTTTTCAGCCCTCCAGCTTCGGGTCCAGTAGGTGGTCGTCTTGGGGAGTTCAGTCAAAGATGGTTTCACGTAACCTCGGACATTTGGGTTCTTCAAACTATCTCGACAGGGTACCGTCTGGAATTCACCAGCAACCCTCCTCTTCAACCTCGAAGACGACCAACTCCTGTTCCCTCAGATCCTGCACGCCGGGCGACTTTGGAGAAGGAAATCTTCTCTCTGATAGACAAGAACGCAATCATTCTGCTTCCAACGGGGTCCACTCTTGGCGTCATCTAAACTCTGGGTTGGGAAGCTCACCTGGACAATCTATCACGGGCCGGCACATGGTCGATGGACGAGAGTCTACTTCACATCAATCACCTAGAGCTCCGGGCAGTGTACAAGGCTTTAATTTCCCTAGAGTCCGAAGTCCTCAACAAATTAGTTCTAGTCAAGTCAGACAACTCCACAGTAGTGTCTTACATCAACCGCCAGGGGGGAACTCACTCTCCGTCTCTCTGCCTAGCCACTTGGGAGCTACTCAGCGGGTGAATTCCTCGCCAAATATCTCTTCAGGTCACCCATCTGGCCGGGAAGAAGAATATCCTCCGACAGATTGGTCTCTCCACCCTCCTGTAGTCAAACACATCTTCAACATACTCGGAACTCCACATGTGGACCTATTCGAGCCTTGGTTTCCTCGCCTTCTGGATCTCCTGGTTCACTCGCCCCTCATACTTCCCAACCGGCCAGACCTCCTGTCACAACCCGGGTCTCACATTCTGCATCCGGATCCATCCACTCTCCATCTTTGTGCCTGGATGCTCTCAAAGTCTCCTTCCGATCAGCGGGACTTTCGGAGGAAGCTACGTCCTTGGCAACCAAGAGCAGACGGAGATCCACCAGAAGAACTTATGATAGTAGACTTCTCCACTTCACCAAATGGTGTGAGGAGAGAGCTGTCAATCCCCGTTCTGCATCTGTAACCTCGATTGGGGATTTCTTTCTTCACCTTTTTAATTCAGGCCTTCAAATTACAACAATTAAGGGCTACAGATCAGCTATTGGTGTCCTTCATCAGGGTTTCCATGATGGCACAACAACTTCATCCAATACATCAATTTCTCACATGATACGTGGTATGTTTAATGATCGGCCTCCTACCAGGAAGCTGATACCTTCATGGGATCTGGGCACCGTCCTGTTATCTCTCTCCAAACCTCCGTTTGAACCAGCAGGTAGTTCGTCCCTTCACCATTTTACAGTTAAAACCATATTTTTACTGGCTGCAGCTACAGCTCGCCGCAGAAGCGAACTCCATGCTCTGTCAGTGGAACCAGGCCATATTCGATGGGAACCTGGCGGTGTACGACTAATTCCAAGGGTAGGTTTTCTCACCAAGAATCAATCAATGGGTTTCTCACCACCCGACATATTTGTACCAGGTTTGACATCGTTCTCTTCAGTAGCGGAGGATAAATGGTGGTGCCCCGTGCGAGCGCTCAAGTACTACATTGCTCGCACCAAGCCCCTCAGAGGAGACATCAAGCAACTGTTTATTACGACCATCCAGCCTCATCACAAAGCCTCTGTGACCACGATCGCTCGATGGATTTGATCGGTGGCCATACAATGCCATTCCGACCATCGAGGATCGAAATCAGGAGCCCACGAGACACGCAGCATGTCGACTTCATGGGCCCATCTGCTTGGAGTTCCTCTTTCACAGATTATGAAAGCGGCCTGCTGGAAAAATCCTTCGACTTTCACATCATGCTACCTGAAGGATGTCGTGCAATCGGAGGGACACATGGGCAAGAAAGTCCTCCAAGAAACAGCACGATCAGCAGCCCGCTCAGCCCGCACAGCTCCTTTTAAATAGATAGCCAGCTCCCGGGTAGGTCTAGACAACCTTTGCATGTTATTTAGAATTGCATGTAGGCCTAGTCTAGACTTTCAAGTACCACTGCATGTCCCTCCCCCCCCCCCTTGAGACTTTCGGTGCTACTCTGCAAATGTAGGTAAACAGAGGTGAGGTATTTTCTGTAATGGAATTCCTAAAATCCAAAGGGATTTTCCATTCTAGTAAGAAAATACTCACCTCTGTTTACCATCCCTCCCTTTAAAAAAAAAAAAAAAAAAAAAAAAATAGGACGAGCTATTACGTTACAGGGTCCTTTGTGGGCGTGGGGCATGCAGTGGACAATGAGGGTGTGGCTTTGGCGCTATTCTTTTCAGCGAATGTTTGTGCGCATGCGCGCTGATATGCAAATGTAGGTAAACAGAGGTGAGTATTTTCTTACTAGAATGGAAAATCCCTTTGGATTTTAGGAAGTATAAACTATAATGAGAATGTTTCGTATTGTTTGTACCCTCGTATTCTGATTGGTACGTTTTGTATCCTTATTTGTGTGTTTTTTTTCTCTAAAATTTTCACGCAGAAGGGTCCAGCGTATGGACTCAATAGGCCTAGTATGGCATCTGCGAAGACATTGTTTATAACTTATAATGACGATTTCATCTTTCAGGTGTCCTGCAGGTTATAGTGGGAACAGATGTGAGACAGTGAACGGTACGGGTAACCAATTAACAGACGCCTTGTTACTTGAAACAGCTTAAAACACCTTTATCATTTCAATTTCGACAAAATGTTTCGTAATAAATAACGCCGCCATCTGTTCAATGGTGTCCATTAAAACAAAGAGCCGAATTTTGAGGGTTACATGACTATATTAACTTTTTCCTGACCAAAGCCACAAAGATTGGCAACTTCTTTTTCAAACTCAATTTATATTACATCTATATTCGAAAATTAGCGGTAAACTTTTATGGTAATTATCTCGGCCAGAGGTTACTCTTCCAATATGGAGTCACGCAACCTCTAATAATGCACTGTGTTTGGTTCACAGATGCCAGCCTCTCCACTGCAGTCATTGTGGCCATGATTTTGGGCATTACGGGTCTCGTTATTATTGTCCCTACCGCTATGATTGTGTGTCTGACGATGATGAAAAGAGCAATGCTGGCCAGGGGGAATATGCAACAGAGCGCCACCATGCGCCCATCTGAGCGGCGCATGGCAATGTACGATGCCCCACACCCTAGGATTTACCTGGTGAGTGCCTATAGCTGTTCTTCTTTTCTTCACTCTTGTTGGGTCATTTGATACAACTACTCTTTGTCCTAGACTGGATGACATTTCGGTAATACATCCATTCCCTGCAAAACGTAATAACGCTGCCGTGCAGGTAGAGGTCGCTATCAACTAATGGGAACCTCGGCAACGTTAGCCAGGAACTACCAAGCATACCTCACAAGCGGACATTGGCTCGATAGCTTGAATGCCTCTTGAAGATGGATTGAATAAGTTTCTGTAAGATCTATTTATTGTAGTTATAGCTTTGATACAACCAATGCAGAGAGTAGTAACATAAACTATAGTGCAATGCTGTTGTTTTGGAGTGTTTACTTTCCGAAACAGCTTTTATTTTCGTTTAGATTTCTTACTTTTGTTTCTTTTTCAGACTTCTGTCCACAGTTTTTGTTCACATTTTTCTTCTGTCCAGGACTTTTTGGCACTTTATTAAATCCGATTGCCTTTATAGTTAGCACACACTATTTACAATTACATTGCAATTGATAGAAGGATTGTTATGTAATAATACCCACATGAAAGTGTGATTCAGAAAATAGGCTCTGCAGCAAAAACTACTGGACCGAATCGGGATAATTGGTATCATAATTGTTCATCGATTGGTAGGCTACAGGTGGTTTGAGTCAAGGTAGTGGTGGTATGCGGTTCCGTTTTGGGGGGACCACCCTGTATGAGGAGTTAATATGCATACGAGAAAAACGAACCCATGAAACACCCCTTTGTTTGTCCGCGTGCAAGCACGTGTCTAGTTGTTTTTGTTATTTTAAATTTGTTTGTGTTTTTTTAGGGGTAGTGTTTTTTGTTTGTTTTGTAAATTGTGTATGCTGAAGCATCGAAATTGTTTGTGTCTCATTAAATATGCGTGTTATTACAGAACAAAGGCTTCAGACCGTCTCAGTCGGAATTCATCATCCCTTACGTCGCCCGGTCGGAGGAGGCGGACATTCCGGTAAGTCACCCCCATAATTAATTGGGAGAGATCCAGTTTCATATTTTTAGTAAGATGAACGTTAGAAGATATGAAAATAGTGGCCTCAAGGATGGTAATACCTCGAGGATGAGGCCAGGATATTTCCCTTATACATTTTGATGACCAATTTGAGCCGTTGGATCACACACTGTTCCAACCCTGATTTTTTTTAACTGAATGAATCCAAATGCCAACACAGTCATGACATCCCTTCAGCAAATATAAGCAGCAAAGAAGTGTATACTCCTAAAAGGGGTATTGAAGATCCCCACGGCACATACCTACTAAAAAAAATATACTTGACACCAAAAGGTGCCAACAGTGGAATCAAGTGCGCGTATGCACGAATGTTAACATATTTTTTTGTGCAACATAAAGTCAACCCCTTCATCCCCCCCCCCCCCAAATGGCGTCGACATGGCATTGAATGGCGGAAGTTTCCCTCAGCAATGCATGCGGATGGATTTGTTAATGGTGTAAATCGAGGACACACACGTGCAACATCGTCGATGAATTAAGGACAGGACCAAATCGAGGACGACCTCGATTAGAAAACGTGTACAAAACCAATGTTGCAAACAAGTTAGTGTATAAGCAAAGGAAAAGGGAAGAGGAACAATAGAAAATCCTCGATTTACACCTTAAATAACGGGTATGGGTGTGTGTGTGTGCAAAGTGTGTTCCACATTCAAGAACTCTAGTGACAGGTACCGATATAAACGTATGTGCACTGACTATTTATCTTAGCAGAGTTGGCAGACTCTTTTTATCTTAAAATCCGTTATTTGTCTATTATCTCTTGCAGCTTCGCGAGATGATGTCGAGAGACGAAAGCTTTTACTACTAAGCTGAGTTGTAATGATTATCATTGGCCTGAACTGAGGAAAAATCATCGTAACTTTCTTAAATATAGATACAGTTGACTAGTTGTAGGTGCCGTTAGCGACAGTGTGTGGGATTTTTTCGCTCGTTTTTTTTCCCCAATGGCAGTGTGACATCATTTCTGCCCTCAACTCTTATTTGATAGATGTAGTTTAACATTTGACCAAGCTGCAACGGCAAGTGCAAACTAAATATTCCTTCTTTGCTCTGGACAGTACTGTATCAACATGCTTTGCCGCTTCGTGAACCCCAAATGTTTTGGAAGAGAATAAGGTCGGATCGGAAACACTTGGCCTACGGTCGGATATAACACACGAGTCCACGGGAAGTGGTTGCAGCCGCTAGCAAGTGGCTGCCATGGGTGCGCGTTATTCCCGGCCGTAGCCAAGTGATTCGATACGGCCTAAGCAAGCACCAGCGCCCTTACAAGCGATCAATGTTTTGTTTTGTTTTTGACATGTATGGTTTTTTTGCTTTTTAAATTCTAATAGAACTACGTACCAAGTCATATTTAAATACATTAATTTTATGTAGTGGTATTGCCATCAACTGTTATATTAATGAATACTGCCTACTTGTATTGAAGGGACCATGAAATTTTGGACACCCTCTAAACATGTAATAATGCGGTCTCATAGTCCATGTATAGTGTTTAATACCTGCAGAAACATCCCTGGTACAGTCAAAATGGACAGAGGGCTAGCTGTGGTGGCTATATGGTTGCAGGCCAGTAAATAGGTCCAAAATTGCCTACGTCGGCCAAATCACGATGTACATGCCCTCAAATTCTTCGGTATTGAGCATATTGTGGGCCATGAACTTGGGAAATTTAAAAAAAAAAATATGAGTGGAAGCCGTGCACAGGACTGTGAGCTTTTAGTTCTGTGCAATTTGATGAAATTGGGGCCCTAAAAGCACTCTATTTTGCAATGGAGTGTAGACATCATTTTTCAAAATGGTGATGGGCTTCAGGACTATTTTAAGGGATGATCATCTTCGGATGGGAATTTCTCCTGAAATCATTAGTTAATCCCCCAAAAATTGAAAAGAAAATGAAAGATGATGAAATAAGCTTTAATTTGATGTGTGTCTCGAACACCTTGATTAGTTGTGAGTATTTTTCCTGAATTTCTTAAGTGCGGGCATTTATCTTTGGGGTCTATGGCAGTTTATTTACTGGTCTGCAACCTTTATGGTTCCATGCTAAAATGGCGGACGCAAGCGCTTTATATGCCACGACAGTGTATTTTTTTTTTTATAGAGGCGAGACCTGGGGGTGCAGCGTTTCAAATAGGGGTCATCAATGGCGGTTCCGCAACAATTTCCTCCCAAATCGGAAGGTACCGATATACTGTCATCCGAATAAAGCAATTTTGAGCCCAAAAGTGTGGGGGGGTGTGATTTGGGGGTTGGAAGGAACTGGAACTCAATTAACTCACGTTGGGGGCGCCCTACAGCATGTCAACCGCAAAAAGAAGGTTTGTTTTCAGGCCAGAGATATCGAACTCAGATAATTTTTTCTCCCAATTTTTTTGATGAAATACGAGTCATACATCCTTCCTCATGCTTTTGGATTTTTTTTTTCAAAACGTCGCTTCTCTAAAGGTCAGGCAAGTAAATCGGTCCAAAATTGCCTACGCCGGCCAAATCACGATTTGCATGCCCTCAAACTCCTCAGTATTTGAACATATTGTGGGCTATGAACTTTGGGCTATGGGTTTGTAAACAATATGGGTGGAAGCCGTGCGCAGGACTTGGGGCCCTAAAAACGCTTTATTTTGCAATGGAGTGTAGGCATCGTTTTTCAAAATGATGATGGACTTCAGGACTATTTTAAGGGGTGATCATCTCCGGATGGAAATTTCTCCTAAAAGTCATCGGTTAATCCCCCCCCCCCCCCAAAAAAAAATTGAAACGAAAATGAAAGATGATGAAATTGGCTTTAATTTGATGTGTGTCTCGAACACCTTGGAGTTGTGATTATTTTTCCTGAATTTTCCTGAATTTCTGTAGTAGGGGCATTTATCATTGGGGTCTATGGTAGTATTTATACTGGTCTTCAACCATATGGGTCACTTATCGGAAGTGTATCTGATAAGTGAACAGTGTATTCAACCTTGTTGTTGTTCCGCCATTTTATTACAGGTATGTACCTGTTCCTTGATTTTTAGCTGTTTTGGTGTACACACCGGAACAGCTCTTGTTTTTGGTGTGTGTTTTTTTAGCTGTTCTTGATTTCAATTGGGAACAGCTATTGTTTTCGTTTAAGTTTTTTTTCTCCTTTTATTGGCTTTTTCGCAATTCTTGCGTCATCGTGAAATCATCGTACATGTAGGTCACGTGACATCGATTTGAATGTTTATTTTTTACAGTCTTATAACTACATGTATTGAACTATTGGACCGATTGGTCTCAAACTCGGTATGTATATAGTCAGGGAAGTGTAATACCGGTAGATGAAATTTGATATGTTATGGTCACGTGACCTTCACTTCCAGTTTGACCGGAAGTGGTAATTTTAGACCCCTATATCATATCTCATGATTATAAATCTGATTGGGTTGAAACTTCACAATAATATGAAGCTATATTGACAGATAATTATATTGCATTGTTATTATTGTGCACTTAAACGTAATTGTTTTTATATTATGACGTTGTGAATATTTAATGAGGCAACCTTTACAGTCTTATAACTATAGAACTATGTGACCAATTGATCTCAAACCCGGTAGGTATACAGACAGGGAAGTGTTCTAGATGAAAATTTGTATGTCAAGGTCATGTGACCCCTACATGTACTTCCGGTGTTACCGAAAGTGTTATTTTTAGATCCTAATAAGCATATCTAATGAATTATAAATTTGATTGGGTTGACACGTTATATTAGTATTAGTTATATATTAGTACTTCATGAATATTTAATGAGGCAATCTTTATAATTCTTTAACTTAAAAACTATTTGACTGATTGATCTCAAACTTGGTAAATATATAGACAGGGAAGTGTTATAAATGAAAATGTGTATGTCAAGGTCATGTGACACCTACTTCCGGTGTTACCGGAAGTGTTAATTTAGACCCTATCTAACATATCTAATGAATTATAAAATTCATGGGGTTGACACCTTATAATAGCATTAAGCAACATTAAAGGCTAAATATTATGCACTACTTTTGATGGGCAGTTTATTGTTTTCAGGTTTTGACGTCATGAATATTAAATGAGGCAATCTTCATACATGTAGACTTATAACTATAAAACTATTTGACTGATTAATCTCAAAACTTAGTAGGTTTATAGAGAGGGAAGTGTTATCAATGAAAATGTGTATGTCAATTTTATTATTAATTGGTTAATGGTTCGAATCTGATGTGCATGTAAGGGCCCTAGCTGTCACACTTCTGCGTATCCTAATTCCTTATGAGTTGCGCATTGACATTTTTTTCATACGCAGTCGTACGCACAATACGCACCTCATATGCATCTCTATCGTTTTGTGTAGGTTTTATGTACGCAGATATACGCATGGTACATCCCAGTATGCAGGAGAGTTTTGGGCATGCACAAAACTACGCTGCGTACGCTGTTACGCAGGTCATAAGTTATAAATACGCAGCGCATTGGTCCCACATCGGTCGAGTGCGTTACAAGTACGCTATGTGTTAGTGACGCACCCCGTCAGCATATGAGCCGCCTGTATTGGACGTATACATAGCGTACTTGCAGCGCAGATGCAACGCACACTGAACGGCGAGCGGCGGAAATGCGGCGGGAATACGCTCAGAAGTGCGTCAAGCATGCGGTCGGCATAAGTCGGGTGCATCCGAATTATGCTCGGCATGGGCACTGCATACTGACCTATTCGCAGCCCGAAAAATAATGTTGTGCACTGCATACGCATCTCATACGCATCTCATACGCAGTGGATGCGCTGAATTCGTTACTTGTACACTGGATGTGCGTCGCACATAAGTCAAAGTGATCAAACCATTTCGACGCTAATTGAGCGTACGGCTGCGTATTGAAAAATTTCGATTTAAGGAACTCATAAGGAATTAGGATACGCAAAGGTGTGACAGGGGCTTAACACCGGGTAACGCAATTAAACTATTCATTGTGTCCGGGGTGATGAACATGTAACATTATTTAGCATAACAAGTTATTAACATGCACAATGTATTAAAATGACATTTTATCCAGTGGATTTATTCAAGTTAAAATCACTTATGACAGTGTATCCGACACTGGACATGATTATTCAACCTTATTGTTTATATTCTGCCTTTTCATTTACATGTACATATTCGTTTTCAATTTCAATGTGCCCCGTTGTTTGTGTATTTCTTAATCACCACGAGTGCAACAGTAGGAATTTAGAATTTAAAAATCTTAATAAGAATTAAATCATTACATTTACTTATAATATTTTAACAGTATACTTATCAACGAAGTTTATATTATTACGTATTATATATCGTTAGGCCAAAAAAAAAAGTCTCCGGTTTCTGGTATGGAGCTTGCCCCAAAAGTGGTGCGGCGACGCGGCTTTTTTTTTTTTAACCTGTTTTTTTTTTTTTTTTTGGCTTCAAAAGTCGGCTGATGACTGCAAATGGTTCCGGACTAAACTTAGCGCAAATATATGGGAGTCCAGAGAGGCCAAATAAAGCTTATTCTCGATCATAACCCAATCTAAAAACAGGTTGAAATTGTGCAGCAGCAGGATTCCAGTCAAACCAGTGAGTTTGGCGGTTTTGAGACATCATCTTGTATTGAAAAAAAACTTTTTCATTTTGCCGACGCGCATGGCTACCACGTATGTTACAGCCCCATAGACCGTGCGTGCATTTAGTTCGTCTTCTCACGCATGCGCAATGGTTTCCTCCGCGTCGTCGGCTTGCAAACAGCGGTAGCAGACGACGCACTGAACGATTGTCTGGTTTTCATGTCTTAAAGTGTATCCTTCTCAAACGTACTTAAAAGATGATTCAAACCAAAAATTATCAGTAGACCAAGTGAACAAAGATATAAATTGTCTCTACAGCGTGGTAATGGCGCTAAAAACCTTTTCAAATATATAAAAAAAAACAATAATTATGGACAACAAACGTACAAAATGAAAAGGAAAAAACATTGTTCGCTTTTGAGTTTGGTTTACACATTTGGACAATTTGCCGGGTTTACCTTAGATCAACCGTAGTACCATCGGAAAGGATGATAGACTATTTTCATTTTACAGGTGATTTAATGTAAGAAGGAAACCTGTAGCTTATAAAAATCATAATTTTTCGAGTAAACCCATTTTGAAAGCTTCGTGCACAAGAACACTGGTCCCAGTGCCCTCTATGATCGTACTTAACTGCATTTCAGGGCCGGGAACCAGTCAGTTGTAAATCGTTTGAGTTGTATACATTTCCAACGCGTCGAAAGATTACAAACGGAGCGCCGCGGCGCGTGGCGCGTGGCTAGGCTAGCTAGCCATGTTTACGGGCCAGATTCCAGGGTCTGTGTACAGGTACGTGCACACTAACGTTACATTCAACGAAAAAAACGTATAACGTGAGACCTTACTTTTCTCATTGAAACGGTTTCCGACTTAAATTATATTAATACATCGCACTTTCCGTGGCTCTCTTTATCATTTTTCAGTGAAGACAAGTTTACAATTACTCGGCAAAACCGAAAAATTATCCCCTAAACTGTCGCCTGTTTTGAATTTGTGACCCAATACTTTCGTACTACACGACACGGAAAAACAAAAAAAAATGCATCAAAT